CGTGTGATCCAATACAACAGCCAGCAGAGTGTCTGCTGTGGACTCATCTTGTTGTGTTTCAAATAATAATAATATACTTTATTTACAATATGGATTTTTTTTTTGTTTGCATAAGAGTAGAGTTCCTGGAAATGCTGATGACAGTTAAAGTACTTGATCATCCAGAACTGTTTACAAAGGATAAGACTGTAGAGCTGCCAATTTTATTTGATAGTGCTGATTGCCAGAGCCATATATTCCTATTCAGGATTAAAACGGATGTGATGGAGTCATGGCAAAAGCGCTTGTCCCCTGTATCTGCATTATGTGCATGTCATATTACATCAAATTGTACTTGCCATGTGAGATTGCCTTCTGATATGTGAAGTCAGCATAATTAGAATAGGGAATGGAACACTGTCAAGCATTTTGCAGGGATGCCAACTTTTTAATTGGGTCTGCAGCCTGAAACACAAACATTAAGCAGGAGAATCTTCCTCACAAATTATCTTCATGTTTAGATACGATTTATCTGTTTAGATTCTGTATCTCAGATTGCTGTTAAAGACAAAACATGATGAGAGGACACAAATAAGTATTCTTGATTGTAATGTACTGAAAAGTTACTGTTGAATAAACAACAGCTCAGGCATTTTTCCTATTTGGCTGGCAATTAAGAACTCAGAGTGTCTTAGCTCTGATATTGTCAGCCAGGCTCACACCAGCGCCAAATTTTGCTTGGAACTTAATGTATTTTTTGTTCGTTGTTGTTGCTCTTTATTCATTCAGTTGCTTCCAACTCTTCATGACCTCATGGATCAGCTCACATCAGAGTTCCCTGTCGGTCGTCTCTATCCCCAGCTCTTTCAGAGTCAAGCCATTCACTTCAAGGATACCAGCCATCCATCCATCTTGCCCTTGGTCGACCCCTCTTCCCTTTTCCTTCCATTTTCCCCAGCATTATTCTTTTCTCCAAGGTTTCTTGTCTTCTCATTATGTGGCCAAAATACTTCATCTTTGCCTCTAATATCCTTCCCTCTAGTGAGCAGTAAAGCATTATTTCCTGGAGGATGGACTGGTTTGATCTTCTTGCGGTCCAAGGTACTCTCAGAACTTTCTTCCAGCAGCACAGTTCAAAAGCATCTATCTTCCCTCGCTCAGCCTTCCTTATGGTCCAGCTCTCACATCTGTAGGTTACTACAGGAAATACTATTTCTTTAACTATGCGGATCTTCGTTGCCATTGTGATGTCTCTACTCTTCACTGTTTTATCGAGATTGGTCATTGCTCTCCTCCCAAGAAGTAAATGTCTTCTGATTTTTGGCTGCAGTCTGCGTCTGCAGTAATCTTTGTACCTAGAAATACAAAGTCTGTCACTGCCTCCATGTTTTCTCTCTTTCAAAGTAGAACCCGGTTTAATTTCAGTGTACAGTCAGTTTTCCTCATTCTCTGGTGTTAAGGGCATAGGACCCCTGTGAAAGTGAAAAACTGTAAATAAAAATACTATTTATTAGTGTGTTTGTTATCTATTGGCATTATATATATGAGTCCATGTATCAGAAGAAAAGCCAGGATTAAAAAAAGTAAATATGAATAAATAAAATAATAAATCTCTCTCTATATAATTTTAAAAATATTTTAAATAGAAGAACTCTATAGGAATTCCTGTGTTTGTCAGTACACTTTTATGTCAATGTCCAGTGGAAGCTGAGCACAGGTTCACACTGGAGGATCTAGACTAGATAACATATAGATCAGGTCAATGAATAATTGAATCTCCAAAGGTCCAAATTGCAAATGTGGAGGTCTGACTGTATATATGTTTCTCTTGGAAGAAAGGGTTGTAATATACAGCCAAACTCCACACCATCTCTTTCAGAGGCTGCTATCATGATCTCCTCCATCTTACTGTTAATTGTTTCCCACCACCTCCTTCTTTGGGAATAGTACCACCACATTGCTGACTGCCTCCTCCTTTGCTGATGGTGGTGGGGTGGATGCTTTCACCTCTGGAGTTCCAGGTGCTTGGCTGTTTAGCCATTGCATGCACATTGCTTGTATGTGTATGGTTTGTATGATGGGGAGTATTGGTTATTTAATGTGTTGCTTCAGCTGTGCAGGGGGTGGAGTACCTGGGCTACCCCTGTATCCATACATTTTTAACATAGTTTGTTCATTTATTTGTTTGTTTTCCGTATTTATATCCCGTCTTTCTCAGCCCAAAGGCGACTCAAGGTGGCTTACAAGTTGGCAGCAATTCAATGCTACCAAAAAAAAAAAACAGTTTAAAAACATTTAGCACATAATATAAAAACTATACAAAAACCATTAAAAACACATAATCATGAACAGCTTCTTATTAAACTAATTTTCCAATCGTATCATCTAGGCCATTCCGTAGGTCCATATTTACCTATTACGCTGCATTCGCAAAAGCTTGTTCAATACAAAATATAACAACAAATCCCACTCTGTGGTGCCAGCTATTTAATAAATGATAAAGCAATGGAACTAGCAGCTGCCAAAACATTCTGCTATATAGAATCTGTCTCTCTGCATATTAGGAAAGGAAGCTTGCATGATGTTGCTTGAGCACTAAGAGAGAGCAGACCACCCTCTGGTGGCTGAAGCAGTCAAACACATACTTGTGACTTGTTTGTATGGCTTACAATGTAATAGATATACAATTTGCCCTTCTCATTTGTGGATTTGACTTCTGCGGATTTGATTTATTGCTTTCTACACTATCAAGGCACTGAGGCAGTGGGAAAGCAGACAAAATTTGCAGGCTCTGAGCAGGCAAGTCCTCCAATGTCATATGTTCAATGTCATATGTTGTCAGTGTCTTCTCCCCCCCCCCCCCGCATATGCAATAAACCAAGAGGCTGGTGGTTTCAATTTCAACATTCATAATGTTGTCAAGCCACAGCACACACACCCTCCTCAAAGGATTGTGATCCATAAGAGGACTTCAAGCACAAGATAGATTTTTTTCTTTATTTTAATAACATTTTCGGCTCTTTCAAAGTTTTTTTTAATATTGAAGTTGCTGGAGGTTCCGAAAGGACCCAGCAGCAACTGTACCCCGAACTCTATCCAAGCTAAACCCCTTAATAAATGTATACAATTGATATTGCTTGTGTAATTTATATTGCTTGTGTGCCATATCAATTTCTAAGTTCATAAACTTGTATTAAATATATTCTGAAGGCAGCTGCTCTTCCAATTGCCTCCTAGGAACAGAGATCGCTGTGCAATTAAAGAAAGATCACTCCAGTGATCTCCCAAGCCAAATAACATAATATCTTTATGTTTATATATATGTGAGACAGAGGGTCCTTTTGTCATCAAGATGAGCTTTGGATGTTTACCTGTTTGACTAAGGCTTGAGGCTTGTCATTCTCAAAGAAGAGGCTGCTAAACAAATATAGATCCATTAGTTTTCTGAATTGAATTTCGGGTTGTCACCTTCTATCTTTTGGTTCTTGCACCTTGTCTCCACAGAACTGGGCACTTAAGTCGATCAAGTAATCATCTGCATACCCACGTCATCACTTCCCCCAGTTCTGTACCCTCCTGCAACGGACTAGAGCTATAAAGTGATCAACCATCAACTGTTCTTCTTCCTGCCACGGGGATCTCCTCCTATCAGTGACATCAGGGAAACCTCTGCCCAATCCTTGAGTAGATCCTAGCCGGCATAGTTTCTCAGCCAATCAGGAGAGTTGCAAGAAGTCTGAATGGCTGTCAGAAATGCATAAAATATCTTGAATTTTTCTATGGAATTATGCTTGTACATCTTGAGCATTAGTTGATACTTGCATTTCTTTTTCCCAAACTGTAATAAACCTCTGTACCTTTGCCTTGAGCCCAGAGTGCTTGATCTCTGTCCTGGCCGATCTGGTTTAGCGGAAGTTCACCGGGCATGGACCTCCTTATCCGCAGTCCAAGCTAAAATCTCATCAATAATAGCAAACCCTAAGGAAATGAAGGTCTTCCGGCCCATAAATATCATAGGGCCACAATGGAGAACTTGGGGTGCATCTACACTGTGAAATTAATGCAGTTTGACACCCCTTTAATTGCCATGGCTCAGTGATATGGAATCATGGGAATCATGGCGAGGTAGAATAATAGAATCGTTGAGTTGAAGGGATCTCGTAGGCTATGCAATCCAACCTCCTGCCAAGAAGCAGGAAAATTGCATTCAAAACACCCCTCACAGATGACCATACGGTCTCTGTTTAAAAGCCTCCAAAGAAGGAGCCTCCACCACACTCCGAGGCAGAGAGTTCCAGTGCTGAACAGATCTCACAGCACTCCTTGGCAGAGAAAGCCCCAGACCTTGTGGAATCATAGAATCATAGAGTTGAAAGAGACCATCCTGCCTCTGTTTAAAAGAAGAAAGAAGAAAGGAACATCCAGCACAGTCCCGGGCAGAGAGTTCCACTGCTGAACAGCTCTCACAGTCAGGAAGTTCTTCCTAATGTTCAGATGGAATCTCCTTTCTTGTAGTTTGAAGCCATTGTTCCGCGTCCTACTCCTCACGTGAATATTTTCAGATTTTACAATTCTGGACAAGGAAGGCACAACTTGCAATAAATGCCATAGTATTTATAATTTCTCTGTGTGATAAAGACAGCTGACAGGAAAATAACAAATAATTTGCAATGTGATGCTGCAAGAGAGGTTCTGCCAATACCACTGACTGCCAAAAGACAAGTCAAGGAAGAGAAAATCTGTTTTTTAGGGCAGTGTTCCCAAGCTTTGGTCCTCAAGGTGTTTTGGACTTCACTTCCCAGAATTCGTGACTATTGGAGAACGTGGCTGGGGCTTCTGGGAAATGAAGTCCGGGACTTCCCCTCCTCTCTTTTGGCCGCCTCCCTCGGTCGCCCTTAGCAGCGGCCGGCTGATTGGACGACTGCTCCCGACTCTGATTGGCCGCGCCGCACGAGCTCGCGCTGTCCTTCCCGCCCCTTCGAACAACGGCGCTCCCGATTGGCTGCTGGACTCCTCTTCCCTTGGAGACGGAGCGTGGCCCCGCCCCCGGGCCCGTCTTGAGCGGAACCGCGGGCCCCGTTGAGTCGGGATGAGCTCGGCTGAGGCGTCTCCATGGAGACCAAGCGGGCCGAGATTCCCAGCGGCGTCCTGGACGACCTCTGCAGGTGAGGCCCCGCCGTGCCGTCTACACCAGGCCTGGGCAAACTTGGGCCCTCCGGGTGTTTTGGACCTCCACTCCCACCATTCCTCACAGCCACAGCTTAAGCGGCTGAGGGGTAAAAGGAAAGGGCCTGAGGCTGTGAGGAATGGTGGGAGTGGAAGTCCAAAACACCTGGAGGGCCCAAGTTTGCCCAGGCCTTCTCTAAATGTTTGGGACCAGAAATATTATGCAAGTATTCCAGCTCTCCCCCCCCCCCTCTTCATATGTTGGAATGTCAAAATCTGCTATGTACCCTCCATTCGTTCCTCTTCAAATTCTGCAGCACTGCTGGTCACAGCTGACCCCCAGCTGGAGTGCTCAATTGCCAGGGCTTCCCAGTTCTGGGTGTCTATGCCAAAGTTTTTAAGGTTGGCTTTGAGCCCATCTTTAAATCTCTTTTCAGCCCGCCAACATTTTCCGTTCTTGAGTTCGGAGTAGAGCTGCCCGTAGAACCTCTGAAGAGACTGGACCCCCCCCCCCAATAACCAAGAGGAAAAGAGAAGTCTTAGGAATGTCAAAATCTGCTATGTACCCTCCATTCGTGCCTCTTCAAATTCTGCAGCACTGCTGGTCACAGCTGACCCCCAGCTGGAGCGCTCAATTGCCAGGGCTTCCCAGTTCTGGGTGTCTATGCCAAAGTTTTTAAGGTTGGCTTTGAGCCCATCTTTAAATCTCTTTTCAGCCCGCCAACATTTTCCGTTCTTGAGTTCGGAGTAGAGCAACTGCTTTGGGAGACGGTGGTTGGGCATCCGGACAACGTGGCCGGTCCAGCGGAGTTGATGGCGGAGGACCATCGCTTCAGTGCTGGTGGTCTTTATACATAATCTATATAAATAAAAATGTAATGTTCGTTTGTGAGATTAACAGAACTCAAAAACCACTGAACGAATTGACACCAAATTTGGACACAAGACACCAAACAACCCAATGTATGTCCTTCACTCAAAAAAATTGGTTTTGTCATTTGGGAGTTGTAGTTGCTGGTATTTATAGTTCACCTACAATCAAAGAACCCCACCAACAATGGAATTGAACCAAGTTTGGCACACAGAACTCCCCTGACCAACAGAAAATACTGGAAGGGTTTGGTGAGCAGTGTCCTTTGGTTTTGGAGTTGTAGTTCACCTACATCCAAACATCATTGTGGACTCAAACAATGATGGATCTGGACCAAACTCTACAAGAATACTCAATATGCCCAAATGTGAACACTGGTGGAGTTTGGGGAAAATAGAATCTTGACATTTGGGAGTTGTAGTTTCTGGGATTTCTAGTTCACCTACAATCACAGAGCATTCTGAACCCCACCAACGATAGAATTGGGCCAAACCTCCCACACAGAACCCCCATGTGAGCCACAGCAACGCATAGCAGGGGACGGCTAGTAAATAATAAATAGATTGTATCATTATAGTCCATAGTAGATTAAGCTGCTTGAAAAGCACAAGTGTTACTGTCTCAACCATCAGTGTGGATTCAGGCAGGCTTTTAAAGAGGCAAGTGAGGTTTATATATCTGTGGAATTTCCAGAGTGGGAGAAAGAACTCTTGTCTGCTTGAGATAAGTGTGAATGTTGCGTTTGGCTACCTTGATTAGCAAGGTGACATCCCACAGATATATAATCCTCACTTGCCTAGTTTCTATCAGACCTCTGAAGATGCCTGCCATAGATGTGGGCGAAACGTCAGGAAATCCCAGCCAGTTTACCAGCAGTTAGGAATTGTAGGAGCTGAAGTTCAAAACATCTAGAGGATGTTTGAGAAACTCTGGTCTAGAGACAGTGGCTACTCTATTGTTAAAAGAGTCAATTTGGGAAATAGCTGAATTTATTAGGAGGAGATGAGCTACCCTCTTGGGATTGAAGGAAACAAGTAGCCAAATTCTCACAAGTAGTATATGGGCACTTTGTTCCAGTGCATTTTGTTCCAGTGAACCCCTTCTATTCATTTGTGGGGACAGTGATCTTTTTCATCTTTTTCCTAAGAGTATCATGCACACTCTGTCCCTCAGGCTGGATCTAAACTGCCTTATATCCCAGGATCGGATTCCAGATTATCTTCTTATCCCAGATTATCTGACAGTGTAGGGTCATATAATCCAGCTCAAAGCAGATAATCTAGGATCAGATCCTGGGATATAGGGTAGTGTAGATCCAGCCTCAGGCTATTTTGCACCCCAGTACTTCCAGTTCTGTGATAAGTAATAGACATACATAACAACAGATTTTCACTTGCATCATATTCCTAAAGAAAGCTTTGGGTAACTGGGAGTGGATTCTTGTGGGAAACTGTTTTAACATTTTCTTTGTTCTGTGCTCCGAACAACTGATAAGGATAAGTTGATTGGTGCCCCAAAACTTGTGAACTTGGTCTTTTGGGAGAACTCAGACCCATTTGAAACTGGCTGCTGACACCATTTCCCAGCAGACACAAATAAATCACTGGTGTTTTGTATCTTTAAATCATGACACTCCATTATTAGATTTCTGTTTAATGGGTTATTAAATGTGCCAGCTAGGCTTAAGCAGTTTTCAGTGCTCCCACCAGAGTCTTGCTTTATCTGTAATGAACCATTATGGTGTTAACAGGCTGTAATGGCAATCTTTCCACTTCAGTCAGTGTTCCAAGCTAATTTCTTTGTTTAGTTTTGAACAGCATAGGGAAGGGTTAACACCCCCTTAACATTTGTTTTGCTGTCTGTGCCCCCGTTCACAGGAATTCACCTCATTTTCTGTCCCTATGACAATTGTATTTTGAAAATTTTGAGTTGTCATGGAAACAAGGATTCAGTGGATATACTCCCCCCGCCCCCCATGAGAACTCTTCCAGATGTGAATTTCCCTTCCTAGGGGTAGATTTTCTCTTACTTCCTGTTGTCTCACTCCATTTGTAATTAGAAGTTGTATGTAAGTTGCGTGCTTGTAACCTAGAGACTACTGTACTTATATTTCTTAATGGTCTTTTCCAAATAATGTTTGTTTCTTTTGGGATACGTTTCCTTAGATTCTTTCTGATTTACAGGTTTTTAAAATGCTATTGCCAGTGGATAGCTATTATATAACATTATTTTCCCTTTACTTCCTCAACAGTCGATTTATTTTGCACATTCCCAGTGAGGAACGGGACAATGCAATCCGTGTATGCTTTCAGATTGAACTGGCCCATTGGTTTTACTTGGATTTCTACATGCAGAACACACCAGGATTACCTCAGTGTGGGATAAGAGATTTTGCTAAAGCTGATATCCTTTAAATATTAATATTAGCATTACTATCATCACTATTATTTATTTATGTTATATATGCTGGCAAATATGCTGTTATAAATGTGTATGTTATAGGAAAAATTGTTAAAATATAAGCAGGGTGTTTTAGAGTGTTTGCCTCTGTTGTTAAATATATTTGGTCAAGATTACGTACACTCCTTCTTCTCACTTATAGGCAAGGATAATACAGACATTTTTGAGAGCACCCAACAAGGGTTTGTGATCAGGATTTGGAACTTTTCAAATCCTTCAAGTTTAAACCCACATCTTGAGTTGGAAACTAACCAGTTACCAGATGGATATCTAAAGATATCCCAAATGCATCACACTTTTTATATGGCTGTCAGTAGTCAGAGTGAAGTATTGTGTAGTAGCTGACATTTCTGGAACATCTTTAAAAGGAACCCCACATGGAATACATTATGAAAATCTAAAAAGGTGGACATCAATGCATGCTTGGCAGAAGCCTGGTCTCTTTCTTGAAGCAGTGGATTCAGTTGGGAAATTGCTTGAAGTTGATAATAGAGTTGTGGGCCAGAGCAGCTATCTCAGAATTCAGGAATAAAGCAGGGCAGACGGACTGCATCTCTGCCTTAGAACCCTTCCTTAATGAAAAGACTTTCACATTTAGAATAGGCAATTTTCCAGATAGATATTTCACTGAATGACATCAAGAGTTCTCCCTTAGTGAACAAACTCTCTTCCATTCCAGCCCAGTTTCAGACCCTTGGGTAAGATATCAGTGATTAACACACCCAAGCAATGAATAAGTAGAGATGGATGACCTTTGGAGATGCTTGTGCAAGTGTTAAATATCATAGGCAGAATTCAGAAGAACATTGTATACCCATTCTCAGCAAGGGTCTCAAAATTGTGATTTAAAACCTCCTTGCAGAACTCTCATACTCACAGAGGCTGTCCTGATGAATAGAGAGAGGCTACACTTATTTTCTCCCTCAGTACTCACATGTGTAATCAAATAGAACAATCAAGGCAGTTTTGGGCTTCAGATTAGGTTGAAACAAATTGAATTGTTACTGCTGCTTAGAGTGATTGCTTCCTTCAAGGGATCGGAGGTATATCTGACCTTCGAAGTCACAGTCTGTTTCCACTGGCCATGTCACATTGTTAACATTCTTTTTTTCTAGAATGTAGGATGAATATTTTGAAAATGGGCAAGGGGATGCCCTGTCCCTTGTTGACACTCATGTATATTAGTTTCGAAAGTCAGACCTCCAGCTGTGTAGTCTTCTCTTGCAAAGAGAACCATAATGGTTCAGATGGAGTAACACTATACATAGAACATTAAGTTCAGATGGAGTAACACTATACATAGAACATTAAATTGAAATGTTGTAAAATATGATATAACATGTTGTTCCCTGCAGCACTTTTCCTTGACTCTCTGTACTGTTCAATCATTGCCCTTTTTTACTGCCTCAAGGTGAAGATGTACAGAAGGTTTTGGATGAATGGAAAGAGTACAAAATGGGGGTGCCAACCTATGGTGCAATTATTCTTGATGAAAGCCTTGAAAATGTAAGTGTGGACCCTATGTGAAGAAAGAAGATTCTGGTAGAACAGAATGGACAGTGAATTAGATGTCAGCTTTTATGGCCAATCTAGTCAAATGTGGCTATTTCAAAGCCTTTAGAAGGTTACTTTTCATATTTAAATACTAGTTTTATAAGAGTGAAAAGTGTCATGTCATGGCGAAGATTTATTTGACAGTGTCAGGGAAGGGTGTTTCAGCAATCTCTTGTGAATGCTCCATTTTCCCAAAACATTGCATTGGATTCATTTAATTCTTGTCTTTCTCAGCACCTAATAATATATTTAAATATTTGTTTAATTTTTTTCAGGTACTGCTGGTTCAGGGGTATTTAGCAAAGTCTGGTTGGGGATTTCCAAAAGGAAAAGTGAATAAAGAAGAAGCACCACATGACTGTGCAGCTAGAGAGGTGATTGAATTTTTTTGCTGTTGTCTGAACTGATGTGTTTGTGATGCTTTTTTTTTTTTTTTGGTCGTGTCAGGAGCATCCTGTTGTGAGAGAATTGGCTGTCTGCAAGGACGTTGCCCAGGGGACGCCCGGATGATTTTTGATGTTTTATCATCCTTGTGGGAGGCTTCTGTCCCCGCATGAGGAGTTGGAGCTGATAGAGGGAGCTCATCCGCCTCTCCCCGGATTCGAACCTGCGACCTGTCAGTCTTCAGTCTTGCCGGTGCAGGGCTTTAACCCACTGTGCCACCGGGGGCTCCAGTTTGTGATGCTATTGTGCACATTCTTTGAAATATGCCAAGTTTATGTGCCTAGTGTAGCACTAGACAATTTGTTGCCCAGTCTTCTGTATCACACCAGTGTGGGTGGAATTTCCTTAATAAAACACTGAAAGAAAATGCTGATATTAGTGGATAGTTCAAACTAATGGAAACTGGATGCATTACACTTTTCTAAACTATGTTTGCTATGGAGACAATGCTGTGAGGTGCACAATATTTAAAATGCAAAACACTTATACCTAAGGTATAAAAAGTATATAAAGTATAGTGATGTTTGCAATAAAGAAACTACAGGCAGAAATAGAGAATGAGACCACAGTAGATTTGAGGGAATCTGTGGTTGAAACTATTCTGTTCTGCTGTGTTCTTTGTCTCTCCATTATCTGCTTGGCTGTTGAGATGAGGGAAGGGTGTAAAATATTCATTTCCAGAGGACGGGTATAAAAACCCCACTCCTCTTGCAGTCCAATTCAGCATCCCACTGCACGGGGAAGTACCGTCTCTCCCTTTGCAAGGGCCTCTTCTTCACTCCCCCACGTTACATTAAATGAATGCCTCTTTGAATTGTTTTGCATTGTGAAGTACTTCTAAGAACAGCAGTTTTCAGTCTGTTCATTCATTCATTTCTTCTTTCACTGCAATACAGTTTGTGTTTGGCAGAATGCAGGAATATTTTAATTTAAAATACCCATGCTGGTATCCTTGAATTCCAAGGTTGACTGGCAGCCTCCACTTTTCAAAGGTTGCTATAGAGGTTGTTGAATGTTTTTGGGAGTTCTGAAATGTATATTTGTTTTTTTCCCAAAAACTTTCATTCTCTTAAAGCTATGGTGAGGGCTTTATGTTGCTGTTTACATATTACAGAGAAGGTTTAGAAGGCGTTGGGAAAATTTTTCATTTCTTTGCACAGGAAGTTTTAACTGCAGAGCATTTAAAATATAAATGACAAACATGTCGTCTATTTCCAGGTGTTTGAAGAAACCGGTTTTGATATAAAGGATTACATCAATAAAGATGATTACATTGAATTACGAATCAATGATCAGCTGGCCCGCTTGTACATCATTCCAGGAATTCCAAAGGACACTAAATTTAATCCCAAAACAAGAAGAGAGATTCGGGTAAAGAATCCATTTTTAATTTTTAGGTATTTAACAATATATAGTCAGTCCTGAAGTTAAGTTGTTCTTAAACTGAGTTTGTGTATAAGTTGGAACAGATACATTTTAAAATGTAACTCCAACCAAATCTATCTATCTATCTATCTATCTATCTATCTATCTATCTATCTATCTATCTATCTAGGCAAACTTTGGATAGCATAGGGAAGGGTTAACTTACCTGTGGTGTTTGTTTTGCCATCTGTGCCCCTGTTCAGAAGATTTCACCTCACTTTCTGTCCCTGTGATAATTGTATTTTGAAAAATTTGGCCTGTTGTGGAAACAAGGATTGATGATAAAGCTTCAGTGGAGACAATTTTTTCCATGATAACTCTTCCAGGTGTGAATTTCCCTTCTGAGGGGTAGATTTCACCAACTTCCTGTTGTCTCACCCCTGTTCTTAACTATGAGTCCTATGTAAGTTGGATGTTTGTAACTCAGGGACTGCCTGTATGATTATTACCATTGATAGGAACACAGCTAACAGTACTCCTATTTTTATGAGAGTGAGCAGCATGCTATGTAATGGAGCCACGCTGCAAAAGAGAATGGTTTTGAAGGGAATTTGTGGTGAAGTAAGGAGAGGTTATATCACATGTTTTAACCATTGTAATATTTGTGTAGTATTTGCAGGGAGTAAAGACCATTGATGTGAAGGGTAGTCTTGAGGTTTCCACTTGTGTGTGTGTGTGTGGGGGGGGGGGTATGCCACTAAATCAGTCAGTGCCACTTTTCTGGTAATGGCAAAGTGGTTTCAAACATCTGCTCTGCTTTCCACATAGGTCCAAAGTTATTGCAGATTATTTGTGTGCTTCTGGAAAGTATTAAGATGTTTTTCTTTTTCTTTGTTTTTCTGTTTTTCAAATGACAGTTGGAATGGCTCTTGGCTTACATTTCTGGATTATGTGGTTTTAAATAATTGTTTTTAAATGGTATGTTTTAATCATGTGCTTAAAAATATATATGTTGTTCTATTTTTATATGTACTTAAGGCATCAAATTGTACCTCTGTTGTAAGCTGCCCTGAGCCCCCTTTGGGGTGAGAAAGGCGGGATATAAATGTCGTAAATAAATAATAAATAATAAATAATTTTCTGTGTTTCAGAACATTGAATGGTTCTCCATTGACAAATTACCTAGCCATAGAAATGACATGACCCCGAAGTCCAAGCTGGGTTTGGCACCTAACAAGTTTTTTATGGCTATTCCCTTCATCAGGTATGTTCAGAATGAGGTTAAAAATGAATTATTTGTATTTCACTTCTGTACTTGGGGCAATTGTTGGTTTCCCTCCATTTTTTAAAGATGGGGTGGATATAGCTTAGATCTACTATAATATTGCCTTCTTTACAGACTACTGAAAGACTGGCTCGCTCGACGGTATTGCGATTCCTCAGATAGTGACAATGGATTCTCATCTGCCAGGAGCAGCACACCACCCAAAGCCAATTCAGAAAAAACGAGGTAGCAGAGACTCCATAAATTGCTCAGATATAAGGATAGCAGCTTATAAATCAAATGTCTTTATAGTACATGAAATAAGTAAGTTGTTTTAGCTACACAATTGTTTTATTTGGTTTAAAGGTCAGGATAATAGGCCATTATCCTGACCTTTATAATATAAGGACAGAAATAACATTCCACTGCTTCATAGTTAAGACAGTGCTTTAAATGAATGCTGGAAAAATAAATGTAAGCATTCAAGTGCAGCTAAATGTTATCTAGGAGCAGACTTTTATCCTTGTCTTTGTTCAATGTTATTTTGTGTTAGTGATAAACAAATAAATTAAACCAACTTACATTTGAGCTGATCTTGCCAAAAGCAACTTCATTTTGCAGTTTCTGTGTAACTAGTAGTAATGCCAAAAAAAATTAAAAAATCTAAAATATAATTGGTAGTAACAGTCTCATTAAAACAATCCGTCTTGTAGCTTTTTATATGACCATAATAATATTTTTAAAGTTTTTCTTAACAAAATATTTGTTCATGAATTAGATCAAAGCTCCATTACAGTCAGCAGGTGTTTCCAGATAGTTCTTCAGGAGACCAGTGGTCAAAGCAGCGGCAGTTGCAGCAACAGAAGCCAAGTAACAATCATTTTGAGATGTCTGATACCTTAAAACTAAAGGTCAGCTTCTTTTATATATATTTCATGTTTATTGTGAAATTGGTCATTCATGGTTAGGTATTTTATAACTTTTTGAATTTCTCAAGTTTTGAAATAGGGGGAGGCATTTTTGATAGGAAAGATGTATAAGCTGCTGAAAACACAAATATAGTGCTGTTAGACCGAATATAGTGATTTTAATAATGGATGTAATTCTTTTTATGTGTTTTTATCAATTGTATGTTTTTAAGGCCTTAAATTGTTGCCGATATATGAAGCCGCTCTGAGTCCCCCAGGAGTTGAGAAGGGTGGGGTACAAATATAGTGTGCGTGTGTGTGTATGTATATGTTTATGTATGTGTGTGTGTATATATATTAATGAAATCATGTTATAAGTTGGCCTCATGTATAGGCTGAAGGCGGGTTTGGGTGCCAGAATTACAGATTTTGATATGACCTGTGGATAAGTTGATAGTCATTCTGCAGAGAGCGGAAAACTCCAATCCTGCCTCAGGGTTGCCATTTCCTCACTAGCCATTAAAAAGGCCTGGTAGTGATGCCCAATAGAAAGAGCAGAGAGTCCAGTGCTTCCTTTAGGACAGACTAAGCTTTTGCCTTTTGCCACTCTCCTCAGAGAAGAGAATGGTTTCTTTTTTAGTAAGATTTAAGATACAATATTCCCATTGACCCATGGATAAGTCGACCCAGCTTTTATGGGTTGATTCCCCCCCACCTCAATTTTTAGACTTATATATGAACATATAGGGTAGATGAGGTTACACTTACAACCTGCAGCCTTGGACCATTAACTTTCATCCTTTTTATGTCTGTTGTGGTTTGCTCAGAACCCACGCAGCAATGGTAGAAAACAATACCAAGATACACCCAATCAAAAGAAGAAAACAAATGGAGTTCATAATCAGCCAGCTAAACAGAGCCAAAGTCTGGTAAGATGTGCACAAAGATGAAGGGGGATTGTAAATGAAATGCTCCAAGTTCTCACTTTCTTACATCACAAATACTGTATTATTAGTGGAGCTATGGGTTCGGAGACCCCTTCTCAGTATTGGTTTTGGGAAATTCCTTTTCACTAATTTGGCTGCAGACCTGTCCGGTCTTACCCCTAAGAAGTGTATTCAATTTAGGCCCCATCTAAACTGAGCATTTAATGCAGTTCAAATCTATCCTCAGACTGCATTGGCCGGTCAAGAAACTCACACAAAAGTGTGCAAAAGAAAGCCCTTAATGCGTATCAGTATTCTGGAGTTTGTGTAAACCCCACTCGGACCTTAGGCTGGTTCCAGGATTTCCTATATAATCATTTGCACAGGGAAACAATTTTCTTCACCATGAGTTTGAAACTGCATTAAATGGTCGGTGTAGATGGGGCCTTAGTCTGCGAGCAGATGGAGCATTAGGCATGACTCACTCGTCATCAGTGGTGTAGTTGAGGTTTTGTGTGAGCTTGAAAAGAAAGAGATGACACGTGCTTATTTGCTTCTCTCTGGATAGGTCTAGATATGTGTGAAGAGATTAGCCTGCGGTATTTTTCCAGCAGGCCTTTGTTTGGTTTTGTTGTTGCTAGGCTATTTGAAAAGCAAAATGGGCTGGGAAGGGATTATTCTGTTTTGGGAAGAGTTTGTGGCTCGGCTTGCTAGTATTTTGGTGGCACAAGTTGCTACAGGTCAGCTTTTGAAATCTGTACACAGTATTCTTTTATCTCTCCCAGCCGCATGAAACAACTGAATAGAGCCTAGAAGAGGCAGTGACTTATGGAGTTTCAAAGAAAACAGATCCATAAAGGTTCACAGACTAGAAGAGTGATGAAAGAAAGTTTTAAGAGACTGCAGGAGGGAGATGGGGAAGGGATCTACATTTTTTGGAGTTCAGAGAACCAAAAACTGCAGCTGCCTAATGACAGATCAATGCAATGCAAGTTTTGGGGGCCCAAAATAACACCTTTGACCATTAGCATTGTGGGTGAGGCCAAATGTGAAAGTAAAAGTGGACTAAGTTGCACAGCGAGGATTGAGGATTCCAGTTGGAACCCATTTTGAGTGAAATTACCCTATTTCTTCAATTGGAAGATTCCATTGATTGTAAGATGCATCCTGATTTCTGTATCACCACCTCTAACAAAAATACATAACATACATCTGTGTTTCTAAGATGCACCCCATTTTTAGAGAAGTTTGTATAGGGAAAAAGTACTGTATTTACTTGAATCCAATGCTCACCTTTTTTTGGCTCAATTACTTTCCCAAAATTAGGATGAGCATTAGATTTGCATCATACGGTCCTCTTATTTCTGAGCAAAAGCCAAAGGGGAAGCTAGTTCAGGAACTTCTTTTTGAGGGACTTCATCTCTGATTTAATTGCCAGGGCTCAATGCTGTGCAAACTTGTGATGGACTATTATTTTTGAGAGTTTTGTAACATAATTATCTTCTCAATTAGAAATGTGAAAAGAAGTTAAATCCAAGAAGACTCCAAGATAATTTTGAAACAGGCAAGTATATTGATATTAGTGTTTTCAAGTATAATAATTGGTAAAGATGGTTTGAGGTTTTTTTTTATTTTTAGAGAATATTGTCATGAGACAGAAAGGTTCAGAGAGGTAAATCAACTACGCTTTACCGGACAAGAATTAGTCATGGGCCAGCATCCTCTGGTAATATTATGCTTTGTTTAAGCTAGTTTCCCAATATTTTCTGCTTATTAATGATTAATGGTGTTGTGGCCTTGGGCATGTTCTTGGAAGGAGGAATCCTGGTTTACTGGCCTTGGTGATTATGTCTGAATCAGACCGAATACTAGGAATCTCACCCAATTCTTATAGCTCCTTTAATTTTAAAATGTAATAGCTAACACAGGGATGGGTGTACATCTTAAATAAGGCTATATAAACTTTGAGTATAAGCTCACTGACCCCAGGCTATATTTCTAATGGAATACAGTACTGTGTGTGTGAGCTGGGTGTTAATGGTTATTGTGTTATTTTTTAAAAAACCCTAAAAATTACTCTGCTTGGCTGGTTATCTTTCATATGAGGAAAAGAGCATCAAGTGTGAGGGTTCGACAAGGTCCCCCATGACCTTCTGGCAAGGAAACTAGTCCAATGTGGGCTAGGCAAAACTACGGTGAGGTGGATCTGTAATTGGTTAAATGGACGAACCCAGAGGGTGCTCACCAATGCTTCCTCTTCATCCTGGAAAGAAGTGACGAGCGGAGTGCTGCAGGGTTCCGTCCTGGGCCCGGTCCTGTTCAACATCTTTATTAATGACTTAGATGAAGGGTTAGAAGGCAGATCATCAAGTTTGCAGACGACACCAAATTGGGAGGGATAGCCAATACTCCAGAGGACAGGAGCAGGATTCAAAACGATCTTGACAGATTAGAGAGATGGGCCAAAACTAACAAAATGAAGTTCAACAGTGACAAATGCAAGATACTCCACTTTGGCAGGAAAAACGAAATGCAAAGATACAGAATGGGGATGCCTGGCTCGAGAGCAGTACGTGTGAAAAAGATCTTGGAGTCCTCGTGGACAACAAGTTAAACATGAGCCAACAATGTGATGTGGCGGCAAAAAAAGCCAATGGGATTTTGGCCTGCATCAATAGGAGCATAGTGTCTAGATCTAGGGAAGTAATGCTACCCCTCTATTCTGTTTTGGTTAGACCACATCTGGAATATTGTGTCCAGTTCTGGGCACCACAATTCAAGAGAGATATTGACAAGCTGGAATGTGTCCAGAGGAGAGCGACTAAAATGATAAAAGGTCTGGAGAACAAGCCCTATGAGGAGCGGCTTAAGGAGCTGGGCATGTTTAGCCTGAAGAAGAGAAGGCTGAGAGGGGATATGATAGCCATGTATAAATATGTGAGAGGAAGCCACAGGGAGGAGGGAGCAAGCTTGTTTTCTGCTTCCTGGAGACTAGGACGCGGAACAATGGCTTCAAACTACAAGAGAGGAGATTCCATCTGAACATGAGGAAGAACTTCCTGACTGTGAGAGCCGTTCAGCAGTGGAACTCTCTGCCCTGGAGTGTGGTGGAGGCTCCTTCTTTGGAAGCTTTTAAATAGAGGCTGGATGGCCATCTGTCAGGGGTGATTTGAATGCAATATTCCTGCTTCTTGGCAGGGGGTTGGACTGGATGGCCCATGAGGTCTCTTCCAACTCTTTGATTCTATGATTCTATGATTCTATGGTTATAGGGATTTAAGAACTAAAAGATCATCCTCCCCATTGCTCATGAATGTACGTTTGAGAGCCCTGTATTTGGCGACTTGAAAATGTGAAATTTTTGAAGCTGGTCTTGAATAATGTTCTTATATATAATACTGATATTGTACTATGCTAATTATACAATATATTGTATGAAAATATATATTGTAAGCCGCTCTGAGTCCCCTTCAGGGTGAGAAGGGCGGCATATAAATGCCATAAATAAATAAATGCCATAAATAAATAAATAAATAAATAAATAATTCCCAGCTTGGATGTGGGTGGCGATTTTTCCAGTGGAGTGGAAACTAAATTGTATATGCCTCTTCACAAGCTGTGCTTAATTAGACTTTCATTCTATATCTTGTATAGAGTGAATTTTGTCTGCAGTGTGGAATTGTCACTTATCAAACTACCAACACCAGCAAATTGGGGTGGGATAGGTATTGTTACAAAACCATGGTCAAAGAATTGGGGTACCAGTGTTGTCCAGTCATGTTACTTAGAGTTAGGAATATGAGCTTTCTAGTTGAGAGGTGCATAGCAGAATATTACATTCACAATCTATGGAACCTGCCTCGTAGAGAAAAATATGTAGTACAAGTAGACAGTGTATTACTGTTTGTACTTATTATGATCTAGTTTCAATTTATTACAATATTAGCTAATCCAACTAGGCCTAAAAACAATTGGTCTTCTAATTTAATGTGGAACCACTGCCTCAATTACTGATTTTTCTTTTTGTTGTGTCAGGAGCGACTTGAGAAACTGATTGGAAACTCTTAACATGAATCCTGTAGGTTCAGTGCCTTTACTCTAGTTCCAACTAGAAATTCAGTTTAGGCTGAAAGATCTTTTATTGCCCTTTTAATCTGAAAAGCAGTTTTTACTTTCCTAATTTTGAGAGTTGCTTATTTCTCTTTTAAATGTAGACACAACCTATGATGTGTGCTGCGTGAATGAAGATCAGCTCCTGGAACACGGACAATCAGTGTCATGCAATGGCCATTGCAAATCCTCTTTCTCCTCAGAAGCATTTTTGAGCTTCAAGTTTGATCATGATGCTATAATGAGAAGTTTTGATCTCTGACGCATATTCACTTGCACAATTCTGCCAGAAACTTGGTATGAAACAGTTTTCCTAAAATCCAGCCTTATCCTTTCTCAGGTTTCGAAGCATTGCAGGGACCCAGTGATGGGCTGGAAGGCTTTGTTCTCATTGCAACATGGGAGCGGCACCACATAGTGTTGCACTTTAAATACTGTACAGCTTTTGCCTGCAAAAATGCTTTCCAGTGTTTCATTTGCTAGTTCTGAACTATGCATTACAGGGCATTTTTTCTCATTTGTTTGTTTTTGTTTTATGTATAGATTTTAGAGAAGTGCTTTAGCCGTAGAGATGTACTAACCTTTTACACACACACACACACACACACACACACACACACACACACACATTCTGATGCATAGTAAATCTTTCATTTCTGAGCTCACAAAAGTATGGAAAGTCATGTGAAATGCAAAATAATAATGATTTGGCTGGGTTTTGAAGCCATTCCCCCTTCCCCCCTTGAGCCTCTTTTTTGATTGTATGGGAAATTTTATATGGTCGTGTTTTGAAATGACATTAACATCATGAAATGCCGATTCATTTCAATAACTGCTTTTCTAGGTCCAGTGAGATATGCTAGTGGTATAACAATGTGTCCGATTTGGCTTCCTTATCCTAATTTAGATGTTCTCCTCCCATTGAAATGCCTAATTGAGTGGAAGCACCTATATTGATGATGCAGTGTGGAAAACTGTGGGTTTATAGGAGATCATTTAGGCATATAGAACGTAAGCTAACATTTTAGGAATCTAAAAAGAGAGACAGGGATCTACCATGTGACAGGTTGCATCAATCAGGGCAGAAGATGCATGTGGTCTGTTTTGCCAGGTTTTTCACCTTTGTGGAAAGTCTTTGCATGCTAAATCTCATCCCCGAGAGTAAGGGAAGAGGGATGATAGCCAAGGTTATGGGAACAGTGGACTCAAAGCCTCTGCCCGACCTCTAGAGTGCTTACTTTGGGATTTTCTGCTTCTGCCAGTGGCATCCATCTAATGGAGCTGTCTTCTGTTGGCAGAGGGGCATCTCTGCCCCATCTTAACCTTCTTCAGTAGGCAGCACCAGAGAGGACTGCTCTGTTAATTAGACTTTCCAAATATGCACAATGCTTATAGGTTTTTTGCCCCACTAGGCTAATATATCTGTTTGATTTAATATTGAGTTTGTGCCCAAATAATTATAACAAGGCTCGAAACTCAAAAACGAATGAAATACCCAAGAACTGAGCCTGTGAAACACAGTTGTGGCAAAGAATGCAGGAACATCCTTTGTTTTGTAGCTGTCATGAGGGCATGTGCATCTGGGCAAATGTAACTTACTATAGAGCTAATTTCCCAATAATTCACTGCCCTGTGTGTCAGGTAGAGACAGTGAAATTCATATTTAAAATAATTAAATTGTGGATCTTTGTGACTAGGAAAGAAGCTCAAATTGCCTTCAAAATGAATTCAGTTTTAATTATAGGCCATTTAAAAATGGTTGAGTGGTAAACTTATCCTAGTGATTACGTTTTTCTGTGACATCTGGTATTTATTCAGAGCAATTCGTTGATTGTGCTTATTTGTCAAGAGAAAGACAAAAGAGCTTCTAATGGGTTGAGATGATACTCTTCCCCAGTTTACCATTTTGAGTGGAAATCTCTTGTTACTATTCAGTGCTGTTTTGTTTTCTTTTGCAGTAAAAGTGCCTCTTATAGTAACTTGTTTTAGTTAACAGCAAATTGGATTTTTAGTCTGCTTGAGCCAGTTTTTCCCCAAAATGTAGCTTGACTTCTGAAGAATGTTACTATTTGTGCTGCTTCCTTTTGTTATAGATAAGAGGAACATCAAGGCACTTACGTGAATTTAAAATATGAAATAAATTGTCTTACGTGAGGATTTAAATGGCTGAAATAACTTGAGTTGTAGCCTCAAAGTGTATGTGCATATGGAGAAACACACTATATTAAATAGTATGCAAGCCCTGTCCTAGTTTCTGGATATACAATGTGTAATTGTCCTTTTGCAAAGAGTGACTTCTTTAACAAAGGCAACATTTGGCTTCTTCACTGAGCATTTCTTAGAGGCTGTAGAAAACTAACTTGGGCTTATTAACTTAGTGTTAAGTAGATTAAAAATGGTAAATATGCAATAATTGTTTTTACAAGGCACCACATATACCATAATGTGCTCCTTCATTGTATTGCTATCAGGTGGGTTCCTGGGTGCCCTGCACTGTGAACATTTCAGGTTGTTTAATTTTTTATTTTGTAATGGCATGTCTTGTTTTATTTTGCTCGCAAAATGTTTAAATGAATAATTTTATACTTTTATATTCCAAAGTCCATGCATAAAATTTACCTACATTGCTGGAAAGCTGTGAAGAAAGGGCAAATGTGGTAATGGTATTGACATTTTATTTCTCTGAAATGGGCATTTTAAAGGAGATGAATAAATGAGCTGTGAATGGATTTGATCTTGACAGAAATGCTTTATTGTCTGAACATTGGGCGCTCCTCTCACATGCTTTTTGAGGGAAATGTGACAGCCCCTCATGTGCTGCTCCTAGCTGAATGGTGAGTGTCATATGATCCTTTTTGAGTTCAGCTATTTCTGCTACAAAAGAAGGAAAAAGTTCAGCAGACAAGGCTTTGAGCAAGTTTAGGAGGGGATGTTAATGTTCCTGGCAGATCGTTCATGTATGTGTGTGTGAGAGTGCATGTGCTTGTGTACTATTTAGTAAAAAGTTGACCTTTTTATACACATGGCTGCTCTGTTAGGGCAATCTTTTCAGCTCATGAAGACTCTGGTCTCCAACAAACTTGCATGCTGTTGAAAGCTTCTATATCCTCTTTGGAAAATCAGTCTAGAGGTTACTGTTCTTAACTTTTCCAGAGATCGCACGCAACCTTTGAACATGCGAGTGCCAACATTAGCAGCTTGCACTGCAGAACTGTAATACTCAGTAGCACAAGTTCCTTTCAGTCCAAATGTGTGTCTTGTGCACATAGTAAACTTCGTGTATGTATTAGCTCTCTGCCTCTCTCGTGGGGATTGTGTACAACTGCTACCATGTAGACAGAGCTTGATTATTGTCACAGATTAGGAGGTGCCAAATGGGTTCACGAGCAGGAACTTAACAGCAGCTTCTGCTTTGACTTTTGATGCAGAGAAGAAGCAGAAATGCAAGTGCCTCTTGTTCCATTTTTGCTCACTTGAAACAGCATATTTATGTTTCTTCTGCCTGGGAATAGAAACTATTCTGAGTGCTAGTACAAGATCTTGAGTGTTTCTAAGGAAGACTTGTAAATTTTATGTCTGCAGCTTAAGCATGTTAGGATTCTTATTTTTTGGGAAGCTATTTAATTGTTAACTGTCCCATTCCGCTGTATTGCTTCTGCTCTCGTACATTTAAAGTATTTGCATATTACATTGATTCATTGTGCACTGTGAAGGCATCCTTAGAGGAAAGCCATCTTTTACTGAAATTTAAGTTGTCTTTTTATACATATGTAGCTCTGTCTATACCAAGAAGGGAAAGATAAAAATAAAAATAAAAATTCAGTTGTACGCACTGATAAATCTGATATGTCTTGTCTGCTTTCACTCTGTTTCCAAATTGGCTATCAGAATCAAATCAGCGAGATAGTACTTTCTTACTAACTTCATAATTTGGACTATATCAAGTGGCTTGATAAGTTAAAATCAACACCGATTTTATCTATTATTCTAGAGAAGACAGTGCCCAGGATCCAAAATGACTTATAGGTATGCAACAACTCCTCCCCATCCATTTAAGTAGCAGCATCCTGTTACATATTAAACATTGTTTTTTAAAATGGAGTGTTGCAAAGGCAATCTGGTCTATGTAGGTGTGTGTGCTGATTTAAAGTAGAAAAGTTTTTTACAAGCTCCTAAATTCAGCTCCTAGAACTGGTTTGCTTTGGTTTAACTAACCTCACCAACCAGTCTATGGATTTAAGCCTAAGAACTGCAATCTTAGGTCACTTCAAGACAGAAATTTATCATGGGAGAAAATGGGTTAAAGTAACCTGTTTTCTCCCATGTTGCTGTCCACATGGGCATCAGGATGTCCTGTGCATTGTCCCCATTGTAGCACAGTAACAACCAAGCTACAATGAGGGCATCCCAAATCCCCCCTAAAACCTTTAAAATAAAAGAAACACTTTCTGGGCCGAAATTAGGCCTTTTGGCATCTTTTTGGAACGTACCAATGTAGCGCCAAGAGATGGGGGTACAGGAGCAATTTGCCCCTACCCCTTAGTACTACATTGGTACATTCCAAAAAGCATGCCAAAAGATCTAATGGTGGCCCAGTATGTTTTTCTTTTAAAAGTTTTAGGGGGAGGATTTGGGGAGGGGTTGGTTCTGTCTTCACTTCTCCAGGCCCATGGGACCTGAAGAAACAAATTGGGTTGTGCGGATTGACCCCTTGGTAATCCCAGGACTAATGAGGAGTCAGTCCCCACAGTGCCCATACTTCGTTAGACACGAGTCTTTGAGGAAGACCCGGACCTAATAGGAGTCTTGAATTAATTTGGTTTTACCAGAGATATCGTTTGGACGCCTCTGGTAAAACTGCGGGAGGTTCTGCATTATGGGCCCTGTCTGGATGGGCCGAGGGTTTTTTTTAATGAAGTAAAAACAGTATTCAGTATCGTCACTGTAGTTAAACTGTTACAGCATATTGTGGTTTGAAAACATAAGACCGATATCTTTTCTGTAGACCAATGTTATTAAAAGGGAAGTTGTAGATCAGATCAAGAAAGAAGATTTAGTTTTTCAACAAAGAATTTTATTACAACAAGCAATACATCAAAGCCAATGTGAGGCACATGTGGTCCTCCAGATTTTATTGAGTTGCAACAGTCATAATCCCTATGTATCTTAGATAGTATTGAGGGATAATGGGAGCTGCAGTTCAAAATCACCTGGAGAACATGTTCCCCCATCCCAGCTTTATAGAAAAGATTAAAGTATGTTACCTTGTATAGTCAGGTATCTAAAGCATATCATGGTAACAGGTGTGTGTTCTTAGTGAAAAGTAGTTTATTCTTCAGTGTTGGGTGGCTTTAGTAAAGCATAACAAACATTTTAAATAGTGTGTAGCATGAATGCATTTTAACAAACTCAAATGTGTTTGTTTAACCCAGTAGTTCTCAACCTGTGGGTCACCAGATATTTTGGCCTTCAACTCCCAGAAACCCTAACAGCGGGTAAATTGGCTGGGATTTCTGGGAGTTGTAGGCCAAAACACCTGGGCACCCACAGGTTGAGAACCACTGGTGTAAATATTGTGAGGGTCTGTTTAAAGCAAGGGGTTGCTTTATATATGGGTGGTGTGCAAAGTATCATAAATTATAATTATAATGAAGGTATTATAATTATAATTATAATACCTTCATAAATTATAATTAAGGTCCTATCTGAATATTGAAATTAATTTATAATGTTCTGATACAATTAGTTAAACAGGCTAGATTTAAACCTAGAAATATCTAGATAAGCTTTGATGGAAGCTGCAAGGCAGGTATTGGCATGGTCAGTCTTTGGATTAGGAATCCAATTTCTTCTGCCGTATTTGTAAGAGCAGATGTTCTTGATCTCAAATGGAGACAGGAGCAGTGACTGAGCTCTCAGATATATATTTCTTGCTGTATTTGTTATAGGAATTAAAAGTTCTTTTTTCCCATTTGTTGAGGGACATACAGTAGTTTGAAATTGGTTTTGAAAGTACATTGCTCGATGCTGCCTAGTCTTCTCATGTATGTATGGTTATTTGGCAATTTCCTTTTTTATTAATACTACTTATGTATTTTTTAAAAAAAACAAATGCTTACCGCTAAGATGTGTTGGACTTACAGATAACTGTAATGATATGAAATGTGATTACTTTCTAGAATTGGAAATTAGTTTTTGCTGCCAGGTCAAAAATTGTATAAAAGCCTGCAACCCGCGTTGCTTTGCCTGGCAGCAATATTTGTTTGTATTGTCAGTTGAAACCTTGTTCAAGCATTATGAATGAACAGGGAATTTGAGCATGTTTGGTGGAGATGGCACAATACATGTATAGTCCCCGGTGCCTGCAGTTTCTTGCCACATTTTATTGAACAGCTTAGAAACCACCTTGTTGTTTTTATTGGAACTCCCAATTGAAGGGAGGTTCTACAGACACACAAATGAACCCACAAGTCCCCCCTTTAGACTTTTCTGCTGAACACAGACCCTGGTGAACATGAGGATGTCAGGTGTTGAAAGTGGTGCCTGTGCACTCTACATGAGTTGTGGCTTCAACAAAACTACACTGAAGCATTTTTCAGAGTTATACCATGTGTTGATTAAAAATTGTAGAATTGGAATTTGGCATCCACTAAATGTGAGGATGGAGAGACAAATTTGATAACATCTGTCACATGAGCATTGTACTGAATAAATATACAATGCTTCTACCATTTCTCATTAAAATGTTGATTTCTTGTGCAATGTTTTTTTTGTAAACAAAAGGGGGAGTACATAATAATATGTTAGGAAAGCACATTCCTATCCTAAAAGTGGGCAGTAACCTGTAACTTTTTATCATGAAGAAGAAATACTGAAGAGAAACCCATAAGAATGGAGGCTTTGTGATATTTCGGCATTAGAAATTTATTCAGAATATAAGAACATTTGTAAAAGTATTATAAATGCCTCTGTATAAATAAATGCAGTTTGTACAATTCTATATATCAAACCAACACAAAGTAGCTATTTTACAGCAGCTAAAGAACTAAAACTATTTCAAAAATCAGAAAAACAATGTTTTTTCAATGAAAAAAATGTCAATATAAACAGTAAACCAATACTGACATAAATGCAAAATGAATATGTGCTTTGTAAAGAACAATACATTCAAGCTGGTGTAAAAATGTTATACATTAGCTGGAAAAATAAACAAGAGTTGGAACGTGTTCCGTGCGCCGTATGACAAACTTGTCAGTTTCTAGAACCCTCCTCTAATAACACAACTGAACATGTCACATTTAGACTAAAATGACTTAACTGACTTAGTTTGCCATGGAGAAGGAACATTATCACTTAATACATGGAATGAATAATTTCAGAATCTGACGAACAATATGACCTCAAGTCACTACAATATGCCCATCTGCCAGGTGATGCCTGACATGTTGGGCACAGAGATTGGTCTGGATTCTGACTTTGCTCCCTTGGGAATATTCTTGCTTAACACATGCAGGCTGAGGGAAGGAATCTTTTAATTGTCCTTCCTGCCCCATTTTTTATCATCCTCAACTCTTACCATATGCTTTTTGTCAGGTCAGACCTTTACGGAAAAAAAGTTTTCCAATTGACAAAAGGATCTCTCCCACTTACAGAAAGCTATGTTAAAATCCAGCCCAGTTTTAAAAACAGTTGCATAAGTGAGTTATTTTTGGTATTTCTTCTTCAGTTATACCACCTCTTAAGAGCTAATAACATACTCATACATCCTGTTAATCTAAAATTCACAGTCCTTTAGTCTGTCGGTAGATATGCCTCTTTTTACCACCATATTTTCCCCTCCAGTGAACTGACTGCTGCTTGGTGGTGAAACACTTTTCACTCCAGTTGCACACAACAATGCAAGATTTTAAATACCCCCCAAACGTTTTTTTTAAAGGTCAATTCTTTTCTCCATCCAATTACTCTAAATTGGCATTCTTTCAGTATTGTACTGAAGGGTGGAAATTCTGGCTGTCCTTTGCAGCTTCCTGGCAAGGTTACATTCAGTCACTGATGGAGCATAAATCTCCAGCACTGTTCTTCTTTATGGCCTGAGCTGGGTTCCAGCTGCACAGATGCAACTGAAAGGTGCTTGGGAGCCCCTAGCAACTAACTAGCTGTTGGGACACGCTCCAATGCATTGAGTGGGTAGAGGGCACTGCACAAAAAGGTAGAAGGATAGCTACTTCATGAACAAGTTAATACACTGGTTTAAGCAGGCTTGCGTCACCCTGCGTCACCAACATGGACAGTTGCTATACCTTGCCACAACCTTGTACTAGAAACACAGTCGACTACTAGTGCCCTGAACAAAGTTATATTTGATTCTTGCAAAGGGAAACAGAATGCATTGTCCTACACATTGCTCTAGCTAGTTATACCAAGACACTTCATTCTCTCTACCCCTCAGTCCCTGTTTCAAAGCCACATTATCTGGTTTGAACTGGATTATACGAGTCTGCACTGCCATATAATCCAGTTCAAACCAGATAATCTGAATTTTATATGGCAGTGTACAAGGGGCCTAAAAGCAACGCTGTTTCATCTTGGGAAAAACCAAAGAGAAGAAACTTGACAGCTGCTTAAACAGTGCTGCTCCAAGGAAAACCATTGAGCATGAAGATACAAGGATGGGGAAGACGCACTCAAGCTTTGACATCCAAGACATCATGAATCCTGACATTTCATATAGACCTCCACAGTTGCATTATAACAACATTTGCAGGTATGTTATTTATTTTTAGTGTAACATTTTGTTTTTACCTTGTATTGTTATGGGAGATGATTGTGGTTATGTTTGTTTATACCCTGCGTTTTCTCTCCACAAAGGAAACTCAAAGCAGCTTAATTTCTTGATTTTGAATACCTTAGGCCTCTGGGAATAGCAGCAAGGTATGGTAAATGCTCACCTGCACTGCAGAATGTTACTGGTAGAATTCTGGAGATTTGTAACTGGTGAGACCTCAAAATAAGAAGAAAGATCTGAATATAGCCAGTAAAGGAAGGTCTTCCTTACCAAAACAAGGAAAGACATCAGAGCAGTATTAACTGCTATGCTTATTGAAGAAACAGAATGCTTCACGCCATTAAACGAAATGAACCTGGCTAAAATAAAAATAAAATGCGAAATAATGCATGTGTGAACTTACAAATGAGAATGATTCAACTTTCCACAAGTTGACTTAATTCACAGACTATCACTTGTCTAGTGTTGCCCAAAATACAGTGATGACAAAAAATATGTGATATCCAAATGGTTGGCTCCATCCAGCTCATATCATACCTTAGAAAGATTTATTTTTAATCTGGGGAACATTAGTTCTTAACGTGGGCTAAAATTTTACTAAGAAATGTCCGGTCAACTTTTGATGAGAAGAAATAATGTCTCATATATGTTTGCAAAAAAGATATTTTTGCTATTTTGGAAAACGAGGTGACAAATTAAGGTACAAATAGAATGAAACGTTGATTACTTAATAGAGTAGTTGCCAAACCATTTCAAATACACACGCCTCTGAAAACTCTTCCTTACAAACAGGATCCCTACCACAGGCAGCTGTGCAACTCAAGGTACAAAACAAAAACAAGCGACCCCAGAGGTACCAAATACCTTACCTTATTTTAAATATATATTAGTGGCTGCAACATTACAGGGCTAGAAATAGAAATCTGAGTCTGATAACTCAATTTGAAAAGCACCTCATTCAGTGAAAATATATGGAAGAATGCTAGAAAACTCTAGCTGGTTATTCTATTAGAACTGCTATCTTTATTGCAAGTGGTCTAAGAATCAAAGTGCAAGAAAGAAGAAGAAGAAAAAAGATCCTTTAAGACAGCAGTCCTTAACCTGTGGTTCCCCAGGTGTTTTGGCCTACAAGTCCCAGAAATTCCAGCCATTTTACCAGCTGTTAGGATTTCTGGGAGTTGAAGGCCAAAACATCTGGGGATCCACAGCTTGAGAACCACTGCACTAAGAACAAGGCACCACAGTGTGCCGTGACTCAAGACATTTATCTCCCTTGGTTTACTAGAGATCAGTGTTTATTCTTCCATCTAACATGCCAGAGAGTTATTGCTGCATCTATAACTACAAGAGAACATTAAGAACTGGTTGAATTTAATAGAGACACTGGCTGGAACTCATGATCATTGTTATGAAGATTGTCTGGTCTGTAGTGACAATTCCTGCATATTCAATAGTATAGGGAACGTGTAGGGATTGTAAAAGTCTCCCAATCCAGACTTAATAGGCAGCAGCCAATGCGAGCAACAGAAGTCTGTTCTCTTGTCAATTGGGACACAACAGACTGACAGTTCCAGCTGACTCCTGCAAATGATCTCCCATGAAAGGAGGAATTATCACTGGGGTCATACTTCTGACTGCCACACTGGATGTAGTTTGTGAGAGGGTGGTAGAAATGTCAAATACATCCCTGAATGATAGGAGAACAGATCCCTTTTGCTTGTAGCGACTGCTGCCTGATAAGTCAGGACTAGTAATGGGCTAGGCCAAGGCATATTTAGCTATGTAATCAAGATAGTTATATAACTAAGTAGTTGATCTAGAACTGTTACCATTCTAGCTTTATATATTTATTTTAAAATGTAGACAACTCTTTTGCATGGTGGTCTCTGCCTGTTGCCCCTTCTACAATGGTTTTATCAGGCAAAGTAGACTTGCAACTGCAAGTTAGTTTTGACACAACGGCTTTGTAGGATAGACGTATACATTCATTCAATCAGGCACATTCTTTATATCCTAGGCTTTTTAAAAGCACAATAACATAAGTGAAGTTTGATGAGTTATTTTTATACTGTACAGCAAGGATGTGGTGAGCTTTATGGAAACTGCTACAAATGTTTTGCAACAGCCCTCAGAAATCAGCTGCTAAGAAATACGTCCTGCCCAGACCCACACCGTACTTTTTCCAAAGGGATTCAGCTGTAAGAATGCACAACACTTTACACATTTAATAGTGACACTACTGGCAAGAGAGATTCTTAAGCTCTCTTTTTGGGGGAGATTTTGGATTCCTAGACATTTCAAACAGTATGCCCATTGGGTTGTTGTAGGTTTTTTGGGCTGTATGGATATGCTCTAGAAGCATTCTCTCCTGACATTTCACCTGAATCTATGGCAGGCATACTCAGAGGTTGTTGGAAACTAGGAAAATTTGGTTTATATATCTGTGGAAAGTCCAGTATGCCCACTGCTCAAGAATTCTGTGAGATGGTGGCTCAAATATATTTGGGGGGGAGGGGGGGTGAAAGGGTAGAATTTGAGAACAAGTGCACTGATATGTATGTTTAGCTACACAACTGAATGGTTATTCTCAGAATATGGATTACATTCCCTCAACAAATAAGATTTTTGGGAGGCAACCAATTCACGAAAGCACACTGCTTAACCCTGGAGCACTTCCACCTGGCTGTTTCATCAGCAACAGCAGTTAGCAAAACATGAAGAAGGGCAGACACATAAAAGACAACAACAACTTGCAAACTGCTTGTTCTGACCCACCTGCACATTGGGACTGGAAGCAATATGCAAGAGAATTGCCAAGAGCTCCCAAATTATAGGCTATCAGGCATTAAGTGAGCACACTTCAAAAAGTCTTAAAAGCAGCAGGTAATGCAAAGGCAGTTTAAAACTGAAACAGACTGTGGATGGAGTGCCATACTCTCACTGCATGCACTTAATCTCCAGTCAGACAGAGAGGGAAGACTTGCTTCCTTAGATGCCACTTACTGGAGAGTGCCAATTCTTTGCGTACTCTATAATCACAGACACCAGCTATCAATAAATGAATGGCCACTGACTTCGTAAGCGGCTGTGCACTGTCAGCCTAGAGGAAAAGATGAATGGCAGAAAGGAGATGGAAAGAAGAAATCCTGTGATCCAGATGAAAGCAACCTGTGTGGTGGTATTTGATCATTTCCCCAAAATTACAGTGGACTCAGAAGGATGTGTTTGATGAAAACACAAGTATTCTTACCCATACAAGCCTGGAAGAAGAAAAAGGAAAAAAAAGCAACATGGGAACAAAATAATTACATAGAACCTTGATAAACAGGCACTGTCTGATTATGCACAGCCATCCCAAAAGCCTCACTTTCCTTTTGGCTCCTGTTCATGATTGCATATTGTCGAAGCCCAAACTGGTCTCTGATGCGCTGTCTTCCATCTTGGCCCAGGCTGTCTCTGGTCTCCTTCCGCACCTACCATCAACAGTGAGTCCTAGAAGGACTCATACTTTCAATGGCACATGGATCCCTTTTTTTTTAAAAAAAGATCCCTCTTAAAGTGACGTTTCATTGGTGTGGGGTCTTGAGTTCTCTTCTTCCAGCAAAGCAATTCTTTGTTTGAGCATTCTCACTTGAGTCTCATGCCTTTCGACCATAGCCATCATTTGGGATTCCAGTTTCTTCAGTTTGTTTTGATGCTTTTTCTTGGCTTTCTCATAAGCAGCCACAAGGTTACTGTAAGAAACAAAGAGCAACAGAAGGTGGGGGACATTTCAGAAAAGCAACTTGTAAAGATCAACAGTTAACAGTAGAGATGCAGATTTCTATGTAACACTGGGTGGCATCTTTTGGGATACAACCCCAAACCGCCCAAGTCTCAAGTCCTCAATGAGGAGCAGTTACTTAGTTTAGTATAGACTACGGGTTCCCTTCCCCCATGTCTCCTGAATGCCTTCTTAAACTTTAGTATGGAGTGTATGTGCTGTGTGCTTTGAGATCTCGCTCTGCGTGTATGTCAGGAGAGATGTAATGATTGGTGTTTTTTTCCCCCTCTTGAAACCTTAGAAGAAATGGGTGTTAGAGTAGCTCAGACCCAGTTCTTGATTATTAAGAAATGCAACTATTTCTTATTATCTATATAAATAAAAATGTAATGTTAGTTTCTGGAATTAACATAACTCAAAAACCACTGGACGAATTGACACCAAATTTGGACACAATACAACTCTCATTCCAATGAGTGACCATCACTCATAAAAACACTGAAAAGCCCAGCAGAAGAGACTAAAAAAACCCAAAAAAATATAAAAAATATATTGCAACGCATAAACAAAAGCACATATATATACGCAAACATACACATATACACATATATACACACACAAAACACATATACACAGACTGGGCCACAGCAAGGCGTGGCAGGGGATGGGTAGTTGTTTTTTTAAAGATTGGACTCTGCATGTTTGCCTCTAAGCTCTGAATTCTTTACAGCCACATCACACGGCACTTCACGCTCTGCCCGCTAATGAGCTGATGCTCAACTTTTGTATCCTGTTTGTTTTTGGATGCTCTGCTTTATTTTAGGGTATTTTCCCCTAACAGAATCATGCCCTCCATCAGTAATGGATGATCTTAATGGAAAGTATGAGAAGAAATTTTAGTTTTTAAGACTAGGCTGTTGAAACTGTGTTCTCTCAATGTTGATTTCAATTCCCATCAGCCCCAGTCCAGGTACAATGGGAATAAGCTCCATATTGCCTGATAGCGAGTCGCCATCAATTCAACTAACACAATATTATCAACACAATGGGTGTTATCTCTCCGTGTTTTCAAGCAGAAGACTTCAATAGCCCTATCTGGTGACGTCAGGGTTTAAACTTGAGAGCTTTTCTACACCAAGTATGTACTTTGCCATTGAATTGTAGCATCAGCATCAAGAAGGCACGCAAGTTCCCCAGCCCTTCACTGCCTATCAGTATATTCATCCCAAGTCATGGTTTGCTTCAATGTGTATTAGCAGACTGACAGGAATTTTATTTATTTACTCTGTTTGTATCCTGCCTTTCTCTACCCCGAAGGGGACTCAAGGCGACTTTACATATGGCAACTATTCAATGCCTTTGAACAACAGTTAAAGTACATTAAATAAAAAAATAAAAATTAGATGCACATTAAAACATAGAAACCATTGAAATCACTACTAAAATCACCTCCCACAATCGGAATCCAGGTCATTCCAAAGATCATTGCACATAATTCTGTAGCTATTATTTCACTGTAGTTAATCTCCAAAAGCTTGACTCCAGATCCACGTTTTCACTTTCCTTCTGAAGGCCAGGAGGGAGGATGCTGCTCTAATATTACTGGGGAGGGAGTTCCACAGCCAAGGGGCCACCACTGAGAAGGCCTTGCCTCTTGTTCCCACCAGACAAAAGAGGCGGGACCAAGACCAGGGCCTCCCCAGATAATCTTAATCTCTTACACATTCACATTCCCTTACATATTTGGGCATTTATAGTCATAAATGTCTCTAAAAACAGAATGTAGGGAAAAATATACAAATGAATTGTCTCAGTTCCTTCCATGCTGCCATTTACCAGGGAAACCACTTTACCTGTTTGCTCTTTTCAAGTCATTCACAAACTCTGCAGATTGCTGGTGGCGGATTTCACTGCTCTTGGTCAGTCGTTCTAAGGCACTCACCAGCTCCTGGACTCTGGCTTTCAGCTTCTTTTCTCTGAAAAGTGCAAAGCAAACTATATTTAGCTTGTAAATTTCATGTAAAGAACCAAACTAACTCACAGCAAAACAAATGCACAACTGGAAATTACAGGGGCTCTTCCGCTCCTCTGGTGGAGAGAATATATAGACACACTACTAAATACAGATGGTTTTTGTTGCCAAAGGAAGAATACAGACTTGGTTTTCTGAAGTTATTTATCGATTTATACTCCACTTCCCCTCTAAATAGGAGCCAAAATAACTTACAATGTAAACCAATATGGAGTATAAACATGTAAAAAAGTAAACTATATTAATGTACTACTTTTAAAACATCAGCATAACTATCATATACTAAAAACTGCACGCCCAAATTGTACACCACTCCACTCTGGTCAGCCAAAGTCTGTTCAAATAAGGTTTGCCTTTTTGCCTAACAGACATAAGATAGAGGGCAGATCAAATCTCTCTTGGAAGAAGTCCAAAGCATAGCAGCAACCACCACGTAGGTTCCCTACCATGTTCTTCCCAGTTGAGCCTGTGAGGATCTTAATGGGGAGAAAAAACCACCCCTGAAAGCTAGAAGACCTGGGCAGGCTCACATGGGGAGATATGGGCTTTTGGATAGTTTAGAAATAAGTTGTGTGGGGTTTTAAACCTCAAAAAATTGGACAAACTGCTAGTGAAGCTGTTTCAAAATGAGAAGGAACAATGCTTCACTCTCTTCCTTGCTGTTAATGCTGTGCAGTGGTGAGAAAAGCCCAGCCTATGGGATGCATGCAAAATTGGGACAGCCGACCTTCACCAGTGTAGCCCAAATAACCAAAGTGAATCATTCACACGTTGGTCTGGATCTAAAAGGTCTCCAGAACTCCGGTAAAGTCATATGGCAGATACAAGAGGAAAAAAATGTCATGTCCAACACTTTCACATGTTGAGTGTACTGTATGTATAAGCAAATGTGGGAGCGACAGCCTTGAAACACTCCTACAATTCTAGCTTCACTTCAGAAAAGTGAAGCAGAAAAGTCCTGCAGAAAAGTTTGTGAAAGATGGAAATAGCAATTTAGAATGGGGCATCCCATAGTTTTTGTAAGAAAGGAAGAAAGAAAAGCTAATTGTTAGGGTCTGATTGCCACTATAATGAATAAGGGACACTGTTCCAGTCCTGGAAGTAAGATTTGGAATGCTCTTCTTTGAAAAGAGTAATATAATGAAAATAAATGCTGGAAAGGAAAGCCCCTGCAGAGTCTGTGAGAGCTCAGAGCCACTTTCAAGGAGTTGAAAAATAAAAGCATCTGCCAGCTTAATTTGACACAGCCTGCACTGTCTCTGTGAATGCATAATATCCACTTTTGGCATTTGAAGTAGAGTGCCGCCCTAGACTGCCTTCAGGTGGCACTGCTCTACAACGGCAGAAGAAGCCTCAAGCGCCTGTGCTTGTTTGAAAGTAGACTTGAGATAGGCAAAAGATGATTAAAAAGGTATGGTAGAAATTAGCACCTTATAAATGTGTGTTATGGATATGGACTCAATTAGTGAAACACCTAACTCATCCTAGGAGAATTTTCCCTTTCTCTTGATACTAGATTTGGCAGTGAAGTCAGAATATTTGAAAATCCCTTCCCTCTACCCTATGAGATATTCTTAAGAAAGCAATTTGGGCATTTTCACATTACACACATACAACATATCTGCATGTTACGCAAGACAGAACTAATATCTAGTGCAACAGCTTCCCAGACTGCAAAGCAAAGTTCAGCTATATTCAGTAATTTCCTGGGCTGCAAAGTGGAATTCCCCTGACACTAAGTCGAGTTGTGTCCAACTCTGGGGGGTGTCGGCGTTTTCTATAGACACCTTCCACATGAAACCCTGTTACCTTTCCGCAGAAGCAGTATCTATTGATCTACTCACATTTGCATGTTTTCAAACTGCTAGTTTGGCAGAAGCTGGGGCTAACAGTGGGAGCTCACCCTGCTCCCCGGATTTGAACCACCAACCTTTCAGTCAGCAAGTTCAGCAGCTCAATGGTTTAACCCGCTGCACCACCAGGGGGCCTATCCTTATGATCCAACAAACAGAATAAATGAAAAAGGAAATGTATGTTATCGGAGGAAGAGGGAAAATAGTGGAAAAGGGTTGGATACAAGTAGGAGACGAGGGCGATTTTACATATTATTTTTTAAATCTCTTTTTTTTTGTTAAATTGTTAAAATATGCAGACCATACAACATTGCTTATGTTATTTTTTACATTTCCTCATGAGGAAAAGTGGTTATGTTATACCTTATTTGTTTGACTCAAATAAACTAAAAAAAGAAGTTCATACAAGAGTTCAATGTTGTAGAAGCAGAGTTGCTCACACATAGTTGCGCACATGCATTCCACATTGATGCACACTGTTCCTCTGGATATGCTTGTGGATTCTGATGTGAACTCATACCCAATGTTGCAATTCATTAACAAAACAGTGTTGCAACTGTCAAGTGCAAAGTTACATCTTATATACTAAATGTAGGATATTAGCTATAAATTAGAATGTAGTTCTTTTACAGGTAACTCTTTTTTTGTTCCAAAAAGACTTTACAAAGTGTGCACAAAGACAAACGATCCTTGTGAAGTAGCCCCATGCTTCATTTTCTTGCTTGAAGCTGGAGGGCTAATCAGTTAACATTTCAGCTGTTAGGCAGCCCGGGGACTGACACAGGACGTCAATCTAGTCTTAATCAAGAGCCTCGGGAGACCTGGCAATCCTGCCCATCTGAATACCACCAGTCTCACTGCTCCCACCCCAAGGGTAATCAAATGTATCAACTGGTGATGGAATATATATGGAAATTAAGCTGCTACTCAATTAACAAGAACTAGATTTTTTGAAATAGTTTTTCTTTTAAAAGCATGCTCCTCAAAAATTACAGAGCTGGCTTGTGCACACACAGTTTAATGGAAGCGTCACAATTTTCCTACAGTGAAAGGATCTCTATGTAGGAAATAATAAGAATCATGGAATACAAATGTTTACAGTGAGTTTTCCATATTCACAGGTTCTGTATCCATGGATTAAAGCCAACCTCAACTCAAAAACATTAGAAAAAACTCTCAATGATGCATTTGAATTGAGTGCCATTTTATATAAAGTATACCATATTTTATTATGCAATTGTATGGTTGAGCACCATTTTATACAAGGTACACCATATTTTACTATGCTATTGTTTATAAATGGAACAAGCATCCATGGATTCTGGTATCTGCAGGAGTCCTAGGACATGGCGCTCAACATCCCAGTGCATACCAAGGACCCATCTGTATATAGAACAGAAAATGATATATTGCGTTCTCTTCCTTCTCTAACACCACCCTTCATCATATACAAAATGCCACTGCTCTTGCATAAGCAAACAAAAACATTTCACATCTTATAGAGACCACTTGAAAATGTCTTCCAAAAAGTATCCAAGGATAATTTCCTTCACAGCTTTCGCCTTTGTTATAACTTGCATTTTTGATGATGAAACTGATAGGTGCTCTTTTTAAAAGCACATTCGACATAGGCCTCTTCCACACAGCTGAATAAAACCCCACATTATCTGCTTTGAACTGGGATATATGGTAGTGTGGACTCAGGGCGCTTCCACACAGCCATATAACCCAGAATATCAAGGCAGAAAATCCCACAATATCTGCTTTGAACTGGGTTATCTGAGTCCACACTGTCATATATTCCAGTTCAAAGCAGATAATGTGGGATTTTATTCAGCTGTGTGGAAGGGGCCCCAGGTATTCCAGTTCGAAGCAGATATTGTGGGTTATTCTGCCTTGATATTCTCGGTTATATGGCTGTGTGGAAGGGCCCATAGTCGATGCTGCAATCTGTTCTGCCTTTTTATTTTTATTTTGCTGTTCACGCATTCTCCATAAGGCATTCTGGGGACAGCTGCTGCTTATCTTGCCTGTTGTATGCAGGCATAAATGGCTATAGCGTAACTGATTAGTACAGTATCTCATTCCTCCCAATTATTCCATCATTTTCTGCAGGCATGATATTGCAATCTGACACTAATGGTCAGAACAGTTGGCTGAGCTATGCTTGTATTCTGATGACACTTAGAAAGCAACTTGCTAGGGCTCTTCTGTTATTTCAGTTTAAGTCTTTCAAACAAAAGACTGATAAGTTCTATACCCAGTAGTATGTAAAACATAATTGCCCAAACGAGAAAGCAAGGATTTGTTACCAATAGCACAAGTTCTCCAAGTGAGGGCAATAACTCGATTTACAAATCCTAGAACACTATCTGCTATTTTATAATATTCACAAAGTGTCCTTTGCAGCTTCTGTCTTAGAAACCTTTTAGTGGGAAACAGGTCTTTCCACCACCAGGTGCAATGCACCCTGTGCCCATCAAAGGCCAGGATGCCTTTTGGTGAAGGAGAGCTTGAGTGAAGATGAGCTTAATGAAGGGGCAGGACTCCCTCAGCCCTGCAGATGGTTGCACCATTTCTCGATGTGCTCCACAGCCCCGACTGCACTCTGTCTCAGGACTTGGCGCTCAACTGCACAAGCGCCCCCAGGGTCCCCCGCTGTTTAACGCACATGGTAATTAGGTCATGGAAATAGTGAAGAGAGGAATAAAGGCTGGCAAGAAGCTGTGAACACAATGCTATGGGAGGAGCAAATGGATTTGCTTTCATATACAATTTGGGTTGGCATCTGTGTACAAACTGCAGGGTAACAAAATTGACAATTTTGCTATCACTTTTAAATTGGCACTGCATGTTTTATGGGATGTTTGCAGCACTAATCAGAACAGCTTTTCGTTCTGTTGATTTTGGCTGCGCATCCGGTTTGAGCATCAACACACAAGCATCTTTACCATATTATCCTACTGGATTGTTTATATTCTGTTTTTCATTTCAATGCTTAATATTTTTATTATACGTTTACTGTTTTTATTGTGCACTATTCTGTATTTATTTTTGTACTTATTTGAGCCATTGAATGTTTGCCTTTTTG